CCAAATTGATTTAGCGTACGTCCACCAGGTGGCTCCATAAGTAAGAGAAAGCTCCTCCTAGTGTGCTGAAGACATCGTCATTCGGAGTTAGAGAGTGAAGCAACAGACCGTAACAGCTAATTTAAACCCATTTTCAGTGATTATCTTTATTGGAATTATGAATTAAATCCTTCTTTTACTTGCTTCCCACTGGTTTCCACTGTTTGTTTTTACTTGACAGTTTATCTTTGGTGATGAGCTCAAAGTCTTTGGGGTTGGAAGGCCTCCTTACCGTCACCCTAAACTTTAGTTCCCTCCTCATACAGATTCAAGTCAGGGCTCTGGCGACGCCACATCGAAATGTCAACACTATGTCCAATCAAAAGAAAAATGTTGGTCAAATTAAAAGTTTAAACCCAAATCTACCAGGTAATAATGTTGGAATGAACTGCTTGAGAAACTAGACTGATAGCTTTACACTGAAAAAACACATTTTACTAAGTATTTTTGGTTTAGTTTCTAGAGCAAATATTTTTGTACCCTGGAAATTAGACAACACTAACTTACAAGTAACCCTTCAGCAAGATATAAGAGGTTTTTTTAAGTCAATAATTCATCAAAAAGTACTAGATTCAGAGACATTTATGACATAATCGACCAGTGGAACTAGTACTATTTTTTAAATCATTATTAAGGAATTACATATTTAAAACAAGCTCCTATATCTGGCTGAAAAGTTATTTCTAGGTTAGTTTCGTTTTAATTCAAATGCACAAAGATTTTTGAACTAAAAACTAGTCAAAAAATACTTGAGTAAGATTTTGTATTTTTGCAGTGTATCAACCTGACTGAACATTGAGCATGGGAGTAAAAACGTGCCTAATTAATTTATTATGGACATGTATTTCTGAGAAGGGAAAACAAAATTTCAAGTCATTAATTTTTCATCTAATGTTTACAAGCCCGCCCTGCAAATATGACGACAGCTTGAAAAAAAAATCTTTTAAAAATTGTAGTTTGTGTTGCAGCCCCTCAACGTTGGTTCAGTTCAAGCCGGGTCAGTTTTTATTGATATTCCAAAGAGAAATTGTTTTGCAGCGGACATCATAAAAAAAAAAAAAAAAACAAAAACAAAACAGAGAACACATCTACAAAAGACACCACATTCACTCTGTTAGCCTTTCCTTTAAAAATCAATAAACACTTCATAAGCAATGCCACAATGGCTCCTGGGAGTTTTAAACCACCGCTGTGCTCACTTCCTGTGGAAGTGAGCTGTGTAGCAGTGCTAATTATGAGTTTTTATTACTAAAATTACAGGATGTTTATTGACTAACTTTTTACTATTATTATTATTGTGGAAGAGGAAATGCTGCATATAATGACTGGAGTACATGCTAGATCCTTTTTAACTATTCAGAAGAAAACTTTGCTCTGATAGCTCTAAATTGGGACCACAGAATATTTATAGTGAATACTTGTTAAACATGTTTATTTTTTATATCAAAGCATGCTGAGAAGGCATGTTTTAACTTTGGCCTGCTTTTTTTTGGGGGGGAAACCCAGTTCAGATCTCAGCTCATGTATGTCTGTTAAAGTTTGTTTTGTACTCAAGTTTTACTATTAAAACTGATTTCAAAATGTTTGCTCTGCTAATAGGTTACAGCTTTTCCTCTCATCAGCAAATATTTTATTTTACTAGTATTTTTAGAAACCACAAAAAAAAAAGAGCTCTGGATACAATCATCTGAAAATAATACAAAGAAAAAGTGAAAATAATGAATAATTCAACATAGGTTAGTTTTTCTACTAGTTTCTTTCCCCCGTTAAATCTAAATAGTTGGCAGATGAAGGTCAATACTGCCCCCGTGTGGAGAATTACCAGTAGTGCAACAAATTACTCAAAGACTTTAATGATTTTTGCATAATTTAATCATAATCAGTTCTTTGCTGTAACTTCACTCTAGAGCATGTCTATCATCAGACTAGGATTACAGGAACACCTCATCCCAAATGAAGACATTCACAAAAATATGAAATGTCGATATGAAACTTCCCTTTCCTTCAGCAGCAGCTCTCTGGTTCCACCTCAGTACCAGATCAGAACCCGTCTGACAAGAATCATCCGTCCTCAGAGACGGGCAACACCTCAAATCGGAGCTCTCTATAAACTACAGGAAATGCTCTTTCAGTGTTCACACCAAAACATGAGAGAACGCAGCTTCGCTTCATTTTATGTCAGGTGTTTTCACTCGAAAGCGAATAAAAGCCAACACACAGAAAGCATGGCGTGTTTTTAAAAAAAGTCAGTCAGAATCAACTTTATTCGCCAAGTTAATTCTTAATGACATTTAATATATATATATATATATATATAAAAAGAAAAAAATTACACAACAGCTAAAAACAGTGATGTTCTCAGTGGATCTTTAAGCATTTATCAATTTAAACTTACATCAAAAAATTATGAATGTTACTTTAAAAAAAAAAAAAGGTTTTCTGTTATAGTTTATTTTGTTGGAAGAAACATCTCTATACATTTTCTTTTGTTTCCCTTGAACCTCAAAACTAAAGTAAATGATTTGTAATTTTTTGATTCATAAAAGATAAAGAAAAAAACCAAATGGTAATCTCAGAAGAGTGCAAACTTCTCACTCTTTTTCAAACAAGCACAGAAGCTAAAATGGATGATTGCCGCAAAACACTGTTTTTGCGTATGCTTAAATGTATGCATGTATGTATATGTATTTTCTTTTGTACAAAATAAAGCATAAGTAGCGTGTCAGACTTCGCATGATGAGTTTAATCCAACTGTGCCTTATGACCTCAGTAAGAGCAGGAAGACGCAACAGAACCATTAAGGAAGAAGTTAAATTTGGTACGTTCTTTGGTACCAAAGGAGGATTGTGGGTTGTCAATAACCAGACAAGAGGGAAAGGATCAAAAATATAACCAAGAGACCAATCAGAAAATAGCTGCAAAAAAAAAAAAAATCCTTTATTGACGGTCCATATGGGAAGCTTCAAGTTCTACAAAGATTCAATTTATTAGAAAAAAACAAACAAAACCCCTTAAACTCAAACTTCACTGGATTTAAACCCAGAACCGCCGACGCTGCACGAAACAGTCACGAGTGTTTGTCAAAAATTTTTTATTGAACAAAAGTATCTGAATTCTCATCACGTCGTCGGTGATACAGTACCGTAGGTTGGATCTTAATGATTCATATATGCACCTCTTCTTATTTGAATATATTTACATACAGTGGAGACAAGAATTAAATAACAGTGCTCAATAACATTCAGATATATCATATAAAAGCTGATGACCCCGTGATCAACACTTCCATTGGTAAACAAACGCACAAAAACGGGTGGACGTTTGGCGTCGCTAGATTTCTGGATGCAAGTCAGATGGTGGCATATTTGGTGTCTTTACAACGAAGGAGGATTTATTTCATCTGAATACAAGCTAAACCAGGGTTTTAATCTGCTATGGCTGTAAAATACAGTTACTGGGCCCTCTGTTAAAGATGTGTAGAACAGAATATGAATCTTATCACAGCAAAATCTACTAAAAAATGATTAGAACTTTTTAATGTGTGTTTTTTCTTATTAATCTGTGCATCCAGAAACATTTTCCACTGGTCAAATTATGATACCAAGGCCCAGTTTTCTTAGCCACTCTTCCAAATGAGAAAGACAAGAAAACATTTGAACTTCTTCTTATTCTGTGGATAAATAATAAAAAAAAAATCAGCTCCAACATTTCTTCTGAAATAAATAGAAGTTTTAAAGTGTAGTTAAGGTTTTCCTGTCTTGATCTCAGTGTCCATAAGCTTTTAATAACCAAGTGAAGATTTCATGTTTCCAGTGGGGATAATGACCATTTCTCTGACTTCAAAACAGGAAAGACAAGAAAACATGTCATTTCATTAAAGTAGATGCGTGTTGATCAGATAAGTCATAAAAAGGATGCAACAAAAAACCAAAAAGCCACTCACCTAAATGTGACCATACAGAGACTGAGAGAAGTGATAAAAAAAAAAAAATAAACTAAAAATGTGACAAACACAAAGACACGAGGGGCAAGAGTTCATCTCCACCGGTCACAGATAGTGGGATAGTAAGGGAGGTAAAAATAAACCCTCACCTTTAAAAAATGATTTATTTTCCTTTTTACACATCTTAAGCAGCGGTGCCTATAAATGAGAAGCATCCAGAATGTCTAAATACAGAAAATCGACAGTAATTTTACAATCAGGTGTCTGCGACTTTAATACGACTTAGCTCGTTTTAAATATTCAGGCCTAACAGAGCTGAAGTAGCCGCTAACCAGGGGTAAACCTTTTGGGAAGGAATAAAAAAGAAAAACTGTTTTTGGTGGTGCCAATATATGAAATTCCTTTGATTTATAAAGATAGAGCTCTAAAATATCCATCCCTAAATAGACTTCTGTTCAAATCGGGGTTTCATTTAATTACTGATTAGTCTTCAATATACATTTCCTGCAAAGTTAATTGTAATCACAAAGATACTATCAGAAGAGGTACTTTCTTTCCTTCTTTCTTTTTTTCCCCCAAACAGCATCGCCATCACAGAAACAGTGTAGTTACTCAGGAAGCGTTCCCAAAACAAACAAAAAAAAAAGACTTTATTGTTGTTCTTCCTCATGTAGCTACAGACACGTACTGGAGAATAGAACGGTAATAACACGTTCAACTCGACACAATATAAAGCATGAGCACTGAGCCGTGGGTTAATCTGAGAGTGCAGTGCAGACCTGGAGCCAGTAGTAAACGGGTACAGGGTGGCACGTTTGGTTACATGGATCAACATTCAAACTCTACAGGAACTCTGAGGTCTCCTCTATTGCACCGCCTGGTAGAAATATTACAGTGAGTGTTGTTGTCCACATTTAAAGTATCACTAGCAATTAACGGTTCGGTAGAAACAGAAAAAAGTGGCGTTACAAAAACAAATATGAGTTTGTGGAGGAATGGTGAAAATTAGAGAAAAAAAAAAAAGGCAAAAGTGATTCTGGTCACTTTGTGAAAAAGTAACTACAAAACTTGAACAAATTTAAATAAGCTTTAAAAAAAAAAAAAAAGAATAACAACGTGAGTTCACTAACAAGTGGGTCTCGATGGACTAAAATGAAACGTGGGCTGCGGTTAGACGTGACAGAGTTGGGTCCCACTGAGGTCCGAGTCCGTCTCTGAACCGGTAAGAACGTCGGTTCTGTCCTGGCTGAGTTAAGAGCAACGGTGGAACTTGCAATGTACGTGCTAGTAAGCAGACGTTACGCATGACATCAGAGGGAGACCTCAAACCCCCCCCGACAAGGCCTCGGGCGTTCTGTTAGCAGCAAAATGTGGTCACTGCATGTTAGCACATCCAAGGTAATAGAGGATCGGTACACGCTGTGTTCGCCGTGTGGCTCAGCGATGGCTGTCTGAGGGTCATCTGCAAAAACAAAAACAGCGAAGAGCTAGGAAAAAAAAAAAAAAACAGTTTGTCTGGTTTTCGCTTGGAAAAAAAAAAATCCAGGAGATCTGAGGATCTAGATGTGGTACAGACACCACAGCGGGAGGGGTCCAGACTAAGGCTTGGGTTAAGACAGTCGGGGATCATGTGTGCGTGTGTGTGTGTGAGAGATCCAGTGTAGATGTGTAGATCACAGCAGCGCCTTCACCAGGTACAGCTTCTCTCCGTGATCGCTTGTGTAGATGGGGGCCTTCTTGTAATGCTCCACTAGTTCGTCCATGGAGTTGAACCGGCGCTGGCCGATGCAGTACACCCCGTCTGACAGCTGCACTTTAAAGTGCTTGTTTTTCTCCACCGCCTTCAGGGACACGGAGAAATCACTGGGCTAAAAAACCAAACCAAACAGGGAGACAAAGAGGAACAGGAGGTTACATTGAGAAAATTAAGATCGGCCAGCAGGGGGCAGCATTGTGTTCATAATAACAAAAAAGAAAGGTAAACCTGTGCTATAATTTAAAGGTTTAAAATTGCAGTTCTACTGCAATTTTAATAAAAAGGTGAAAAGTTTCTTTCTATTGCGGCCTTAAATATTGAGCGGATTTTATTTATTTTTATTTTTTTCAACATTAAAGGGATTAATTGATGCTAATCAGACAGGAAAAGGGCAAAAAGAGCAAAAAGAGGAAGAAGAGATGCAGCAAAGGTTCAGGAATCAAACCCAGGACGGCAGCAATGAGGATTACAGCCTCTGTACGAGAGACGCTCGCTCTAACTCTGCACCACAAACCCTCCTGAGCTCATTTTAGACCTCTTATGTTCATCTACTGAGATTAAAATAGTTTCCTCTGAATTCAGGATGTTTACTAGTCAGTCGCCCTGCAAATCTAATGACCGAATTAGAAAAAAACAAGAGAAAAGTTGAGCAGAAAATAATCCTTATATATGCATTCATTAAACTGCTATGTAGGAATTATGAAATTACTGAGTACTAAGTATATTTCAACATAAAATTCTGCACCATTTAAGTAATTGTTTATTAGCGATTGATCAGTGTGAAAATGCAGAAATATGGTGCATTAGTCGGATGTAGCCACGTGCAACAATGGATTATTTCATTCCACTGACCTTGTTTAACTGGAAAGTTGTACGCAAACGGTACAAGTCTTACTGATTCATCTGCAGCCATAGCAACATGTCAACAACCTCAATCATGTGTGTGAAAACACTGCTGGAAGCAGATGTAGATTAAATTCCTGCACCTCGGTCACATTTTTCATGCGATTCTTGACCATCTACTCTTTAAAGTCATTAATATGCTTCTTTCAATTTTTTAACGTGTGCAAATTTCCCACGAGGATTTAATTAAGATTTCTAATTTTATTAACTTTGGGTAAAAACCTCGTCAGCGTCGCCGACATGCTGCCGTGACTTCACCTAGATGACTCACCGATGACTCGCTGTCTCGTATGAGGAAGTCGCCCTCCTCTCCCCGCTCGTTGAGTATGCACTCGGCCTCATGTCTGGTGATGTTGCCGTAGTACCAGTCCCTGCCGGCGAACCTCCCCGAGCGCGCCGGTCCCATATAGCGGCTCTGAGGGGAGGCCGACGTGGTGGAGGGCGGGCCGGGTCGCTCGCCCAGCACCACCACATAGTTCTTGGGCACCAGGCCCACGATGCCGCGAGAGTTCTTACACCTCCACCACTCTGGGTCATTCTCCGGCTTCTCTATCACCTCCATGATTTCTCCCTTTTCAAAGTTCAGCTCCTCCTCGGTCGTCGAGCTGAAGGGGTAGAGCGTTTGGACCAGGTGGAGGACGACGCCCCGGCCGCCGGCGCGGCCGTTGGCCAGCAGAGTCCCGCCGAGGTAAGCCCGCGGGGAATCCCCGTCTCCATCGTCCACCCCCATGAGCTCCTCCTGGACGTAATTGGAGGGGAACCAGCCGACGCGGCCGGCGTGACTGCCACGCCACCAGCCGTCGCTGCACTTCTCCATGACGACCACTCTGGAGCCTTTGAGCAGAGTTAGCTCGTCTTCTCTCTCTGCTGTGTACGCAAACTTGACCACAGCGGGGATGTTGAGGTCATAGATCCTCTCCGGGGCGCCGACCACACCTCCGCCCCCGCTGCCGTTGGAAGGGTACTCTGTGTCTGAGCTCGGCGTAGGGGAGGCATCGCGCGCACTCGTCTTCCTCTTGCCCTTCCCCAAACCTGTGCACAGGAAAAGACAACACCTTCAGCTGAATAGTTTGGAAACACTGGACATGACTGTATCGGTCATCTTTACTCCTTTAGAAATACCCTAGAATTTGATTTCGTTTGTTTAAGCTTTCCTTTTTCTGGAAAGAAGTAATGAGTTGAGAACTGACGGTCCTGCATTCAAGACGACAAGCAGGACATTTGTGGATATTTTTGTTGAGAAAATATTGTTTTGGGTAGAAACAAAAGTCTCAGATGTCCTGCAGGGAGGCTATTTTTATCTGTGTTTCAAATTTCAAGAAGTCTGTCCCCTCCAGCACCCAGTTACTGGACGTCTGAAGACAGCTTTCGATGAGCTGCTGCTAAAAACGCAGGCAGAAAATCAACATCATCGTTCACAACTTCTCCTTCTGTTCCCTGATTGTTCTACCGGAGGGAATCCAAACGAATGGAAGAAAAATATTTAACTGAGTGGAGTTGTATCAAACCGTAGGGCTTGATTAGCAAATTAATCTGAGGGGGAAAAAAAAAAATGAAATAAAGATGCAGGCGAATTGAAGACTGTACTTGCATGTGTCAAGTCAGCCATATCACATTAAAGCTGAGTTTATGTGTTAATGCCATTTCAATTATTTTTAATGCTGTAGTTTGCATGTTGTCCCCGTTCACATGTGGGTTCTCCAGCTTCCTCCCACAGTCCAGAAACATGAATGTTGGTTAATTGGTTGTTTGTCCTGTGATGCCCTGCGATGTACTGGCAACCAGTCCAGGGTGTACCCCACCTTTACCCTAATAACCTCTGGAGATTGGCACCAGCTCCCTTGTGATCCAGCAAGGACAAGCAAATTGATTGGAAATCAGTCTTGTCCAATATTAAAATATCTACAAAGATTTCTGGGTCAAAAGAAACTCCTGATCAGGATATCATTCTCATTCAATATGAAGAAGACTTTGTTCTTGTAAGAACTTTTGTTTGATAATCAACTAGAAGAAAACAGAGAAACTGCTGAGGCTTTTGCAGTAAGATGTCCTGCACTGGGCAACACACGGCGCCTCCCCACAACTCCTACAGAACAAAACTAGGGCTTTTCTCTACTTAGCATTCAGCTGACATCATCTACACACCACATACACCTCCATATAAACCCAAAGGTTGAAAATAGATGGAGCACAGAGGGAATGAAAAGTGGAGCAGGCACCATGGGCTTAATAATGACAGGCACATCCAGGATCAAAGTCAGACCCTGTCTTACCTGCCTCCGACTCTGCCATTCATGTTCTTTCAAAGACGAGTCTTTAAACGTGTTTGAACACTTCAGTGGGACTCAAACATTGTTTTTTTTTTTTTAAACTTGACTGAACATAAACTGAGGAGGTCTCCTCTTCTTCCTCACATGGATGTTAAAACAGTAATTACACACAGCGCGGCTGTTGGCATTTAAACCATTTACTTGACGGCTGAAGCTGGTGTCAGTGGAGGCTGGTGTGTGCTGCTAATGACTGAAGAGAGAGAAATTTTGACAGCTCCTCTCCCAGACTCTGCCGCAGAAATGTCACTGCCGAACAGAGCATTTACTTTGTTTGAAAATTGCAGGGTTCACGTAGAGTAGCATGAAACTTGTTGGCAGAGAGAGAAAGGGAGAGAGAGGAGGGTAGTGGGGTCTCTTGGCAGCTGTTCCTCACACACGCTGGAGACCAAACGCATCAGAGGCCACAGCTGACAAAAATGCAAAGGAGGAGGATGAGGTAGGAATAGCAAGCAGTGCGTGTTTGCGTACGGCGCCGTGTAGCCCACAAATCTGATATTTATGAGTGAGGAGAAAGCCTGACATCTGGGACAACTTGAGAAGGTCAAGGAAAGAAAAACTAAATGAAACGACCAGGGTAATGTGGTTGAGGGATGCTTCACGTCTCCCTCTGAGCCTAGCAAAAAAAACACCTGCATCTCCACACACACCTCTCCCCTACACTCATTTCCACTTCAAGGCACCGGCCTGCCTGTTAGAGCGGCGGCGTGACATCCTCTCCGAGCCTTCATCTACCTCTTCATCTTGTGAAAGGAGACGTGATTTTTTTTTAAACCCAGAGGGCTTCAACTCTGGGGGGAAGTGAGCTGATGAAAGGCTCAAAGTTGCAGCATATTGCTTCACTCTTCTGCTTCCACTGAAAGGCAGCGGGGAAGTAACTGTATTAAGCGGGTCCTTGCAAAATTGCACCACCCACCAAACACGTGTCCACAATCAAAAAAGCCAACAGGACCCTGTAGTGAAGTGTTAGTTCTAAAACAGCGGGTGATGAGGTTTAAGAGCTCTGTGAGAGTGAATCACAGGTGAGATATGTGGTCTTTTAAATGGCCCCTCCAGCAGTGCGGCTCTGCTTTTAATCGAAAGGCTACGAGGTCTTAATGCCCCATTGTGTGTAAAGTCGGTGATGCCGTCAAAAGGCTTGCCGAGTAAAACAGAAAAAAAAAAAGAGGGAAAAACTACAAGGAGCGTTGGAGAACACAAGCGAGGCAATTTTTTGGTTTAATATATTCTCTCAGACTTTGAGAACTTTAGACAAAAAAAATGTCAAATCTATTAAGTTAAAATGTTGGACGCTAATGACCAAAAATGACTCACCAAGTCATGTCTCACCAAGTTTTGGTTAGATGTCATCACTAAGGGTGTGCACACTTAAACGTAACCAGGTAATGGCAACTTTTTACAGTTTTTTTTTGTTTTTTGTTGGCTGAATCATATTGCATTATTTTCACAATATGGGTGAAAAAAGCTTTGAAAAGGTTTTTGTTGTGTTTATGCAACAAAGGACAACATACCGTCAGGGTTACCTCCAGTGTATTATAAGCCTGGCGGGCCACCAGGCTTTACTTGGGTCCCCCACCAGACTAAGCATTACTTATTTATTTTAGTTTTTGGAAATGTTTGCATTTTTCAAGACTTTATAGTCAGTATTCAAACATTAATCTTCCAATAACGCATAATCATCAAGTGATATTTTTCGAATTTCCTGTCAACTCTAAACATTTTTTAACTCAAAACCACGGCAGACCGCTGAATGACTGACTGACCTAGAGCCCCAACCACCAGGCTTAGCAAGCTTCCTGGGAGGAACCCTACATAGTGGTTTGACCTTTAACGAAAACTGTACTCTTTAAAAACTCAAATAGGCAGAAATTTAATGTTGTCTTTAGTTTTACAGGTGAGTATTGACCCAGTTCCAGCAACTAGTAAGGTCTTTGCTTATTTCCTTTACACAACGATGCTTTTTTTTATTTCCAAGCAGAAGAAAGTGGGGCACCGCGCAGCAGGCAGCCATTTATAGTTAAGACTCTTTTCAGATGGATGCTGATGATACAACTGCTCTAAAAACCAGCATGCATGGAGAAGAGAAACTGCAGAGAACAGGAAAAAAAGAGTGCATCAAAATGCTCACTGAAGAGGATTAAAAAAATGAAGGGGGGGAGGGGGGGTCATCAAACTCTCAACCAATCAACTTGTCCGCTGAAGTGTGTGCGTAGTTTCCATTATCACCTGACCCTCACCTATTGCTCATCGCCTCATCGTGAAAGTGTTCTCGCCTATTGGATTTTCGGAGGCTTTTAACAGGAAAGAGCTGCAGGCAGGAAGGATGCTGCCCAGACTGGGATGGAACGGGGCCATAATGTTGTAGTCGATATATAACTCAGTCAGAGAACGGGGGGTGATCCATCATTCCGATACAGCCATTAGGTGCCTGATTTGTCCTGCAGGATAACTACTGATAAGAGAAAAGCAGAGGTCCACGGTGGCCAAGAGAGGAGCTGATGAAAATGGCGCTGGAGCGGAGAACAGAGGGAGGAGGGCTTCATCTCCGCGCCCTGTGACCTCTGGTTAAGGTGACCGACTGCAGCAGGCTGTGTCAGGGCGGCCGGCATGCAGCTGCAGCTCCCCTTCCCCCGAGGGTCTGGATCCACAGAGCTGGGAGAGGTGAATACATTAAAGCTGACCTCGATCCACCTCTCTCTGTCACCTCCGACTACGGCTGCCTTTAGAAACCACACGTTTACTGCTTGTTTTACATTTAAACTGCTTTCCACCAGACATTTCCATTTCCTGCCCAGGTTCCTGTTCCCAACCATTCTGATAGAGGAGCAGGTATCCCACAGTGAAGCTGTCAAAACAAATTAATTTCACTGTTTGCTTTGCTACCCATTAGTAGATCAAAAGAGAAAGTTTTAATATTTTGCTCCCTTGACTTGAGCATCAAAGATAAAAAAAAAAAAGTGCTGCCATTTAATTTGTGGAGGATGTTTGCTGGGGGTGACATCTGTGGCATTTGTTCACTTCAGAGGGAAAACATCTGAGTGGGTGTTAAAGAGCGCCATTGTCCCAAACGATTTCATGCCTACATTTCCATATTCAAAAACTTGTAAAAATGAATTGGAGCACAACCTACCTAAAGGCCAGAGAATTCTTTCTCCCACAAGACATCAAAGACAAAAGTATTGATGGATTATGGACAAAAAAAATAGATGGACAGATTGATGAATGAACAGATGAATGATTGATGGATACAACTGAGTCAGCAGGATTGGGAATAAATATATTTAAAAAAAACAATGCTCAGTGACAGCTTTTCGGAGCCATTATTGTACTGCACACCTGTAAGCTCTGCTTTCAAGCAAAAGATATTAATAAAAAAAAAACACAGACCTACCAAATGCTGACCTAAAATGTTGAGCGTGTTCTGTTTTTTCTTTCAACAGCACCATAAATCACCATTTCCCAAAGCCTAAGGTGTTTCTTCTGTCTGGGCAACAGTATTGGGTTTGTTCTTTGTTTCATTGTCCTCCTTTAGATTCAAAGGTTTTAGACATGACTTAATAATGGGATGGAAAATTCTTCCTTTGATACAGATAATTGGTGTCTTCTTTGTGCCTGAATGACAAAGTCAAGGAAAATTTATTGCATAAAGGAGAAGTCTCTCTGAATAATGTGTCATCTGTCGTTACTTTCATTGCCAGTCAATAGAAGTAGGGCTTCTATTTTCCTCTTACTTAATCGGAGAAAAGTAGAGACTTCCTTTCACGTACGCTACACGCACCATTTTCACCACCCTTAGCTGAAAGCTATACCCACACAGAGAGACTAATATATTCAAGTCATGGCTGGGGACACTGAGCGACAGAGTGCTGACAGCTGAGAGCAATGGCCGACTCAACAGGCTCCCTGGAGAGCCTGGTGACAGCTTCCAGCCAAGACAGAAACACAGTGAGAAAATCGTTTTACTCTTTATGAAAATCCAGACTAAAAAAAAAAACAAACTCACAGAGCACGGAAATATCTCATCTTATTCAATGTGGGACACAGATTTACTGCTTTTGATGAAAAGCATCTCAACACGTTAGTAGTGATAATTCGTGCACTCAGGGGACTTTATTCTCCGCCGCAGCCGGGAGCTGGAAGCCTCTTACCCAGGGTGTCTTTGATGTTCTTCACCAGAGAGCCTTTCTTCAGGCTGTTCTTGCGCTCCACGTAGTTCGACGGCACGTAGCCCGTCTGGTTGGCGGTGTTGCGGACGCGCCACCACGTCTTCGAGTCGTCGAGGAGGTAGAGGCGCTCGTTTTTACGGATGTCAAGTTCCTGGTCCTGCTGGGCTATGTAGTCCCACTTGGCTACAACAATCACCTCTTCTGTCATCTTTCATGGAGTCCTCCTGGAGAGAAGGAGGAGGAGGAGTCACAAATCAACGGCAAATATAAGATGGCGAGTGAACTGTACATTTAAACACCGTCCGACTTTTTCTCATGACAGAAAAACAAAAGCTGATAATAGGCTTTAGACTGAGTTGATAATCAGCTATAAATTACTGTATTCAATGGCAACTCCTCCAAAGGATTTGCCATGTTTATTGTACAGTAGTCTGAATGGACAAATTAAATATTTGGTTTTTAGGAAACTTTTTTCAGCTTTATCAATGAGGCAACCCTCATTCAGACACAGAAGGGAGTTTTCTAAACTTCTTCACATCGTGGCCAAAAACTTCCTAGTAAATATTGGGATTTTATTAACTAAATGAACACGGAGTAGTGCACATTTCCAATATGGGAGGCAGTAGATTCATGAGGCATCTGCAGCTAAAACAATACTTCCAACATTAACATGACAATAGCTCGGTGCTCTCAGCTTAACTTAATACAGCTTCAAGCTAATCTCTTTATGTTTGGGATTAACTGATAAATAACTGGATAGCAAAAGTTGCTTAAGTAGGAGTTTAAAAAACAACAGATTTTGAACCAGGTGAAGCTAAAAGTTTGCCACTTGAGGAGTTTTTGGTAGAACATATTTACAGACAAAAAAGGTTTTTCATCTTAAACGCAAAATGTACATTTTTTTGTACAGTTTAGGCTTAATTATGTCTTTTTTCAGTCTGCTATATTCAAAATCAGTTGGTAAATATTTCAATAATCGACTCATCACAGTCTTTTCAGTCTGACGTTGATCTACTGGCTGAAACAGGAAGGGTTTAAAGGGTGTGAATACTTTATCGCTGTGAGCTGTGTTTGTGAAGCTCAGCGCTGCTGTCACAAGTAAGAAGTCATTAAAAAAATGATCCACACTTATCCCCGAGTAGAATTGCTAAAGTGCTTATCCCTGCTCACGCTGGGTATTAGTCCGGATAAACCCAGGAAAGGTTTCCAGTATATTACATAACCAAGATAAATGTTCATGGTAATATTTTGAGCATGAACTGGCATTAAAGCCTTTAATTCCTTAAATGGAAATTATGGCAGCATTTCATATACGTCCAACAGTGAAGCAGAGTCGTGTCAGAAGATACCAGGCAACACCGTTGGCTGAAAGCATGAAGTTTAACGGCAGAAACTGCAGCTCTACAGACATCGAAGCTTCTACAAAAAGCTTATTTTGGCAGAAAGCAGCACAAGCACACCAAATAAATCAATTTATGTGCTCTCGCTTGGGCACAAATACACAAGTACACCTTGCCTGTTGGGTTTTTTTTTTTTTTTTTTTTTTTTTAAAAAGAGCAGTGTGTGATTAAACGCTTTATTTCACCAGGCTTTGAGTAAGGTCATTTGACATGGGTCAACTAGACCACCTTCCTGTTCAGGAGCTGTAGTCTTGAGTCTGTGCATGTGTGAGTAACGTCTGCTCTCGGATAACCTCACATAATAAATACAACCTCACGGTATGAAAACAACCTGACCGATCCGGTTTATATTTAACTCACCTTCGAGGTGTGAGAAAAAAAACGCAAGAACAATGAAAGGAAAGTTAACCATCTCCAGATTGATTTAATTACTTGCAACAAATTGGTGAATAGTCGGTACAACAAACAGCCACTTTGTCAATGTTCTGCCACTGAAGATAAACTGTAAAGTTAATAAATGTGTGATCAGAGCAATAAATGAAAACCTAATCTCGAGCAAGATTATGATTAGCGATTGAGACGTCAGGACGTAGCTGCGAATAACCTTTACACAAGAATTAAAAATAGTCCTCCACATAAAAGGGAATAATAGATATCCATTGAGTTTTTTCCACCATGTTGAAATGATCCGGCATTAACTGATTCAAACGGAAACCCCTGCAGTGGTTAAAATGGAAAACAACATTGATTTGAGTGCATAGAGAAGCATGTGGGCGAGATTACCCCATTCTTATTTAGCATATGTGAACAATAGATAGTTTTACACAGTCTAGACAGGAAAAAAAAAAAAAAGCATATTAGCCTGCAGCACAGATGCAAGAAGAATGTTTGCTTAATTATTTACATTTTACTCTTCAGTGAAAAAAAAAAAAAAAAACGGGTAAAAGCTACTCTGAAGAAAGATGACTCACGCTAAGAGTTGCTTAAATTAGACGTTATAGAAAGATTCCATTAGCGAAGGAAAGATTCATATCTTCTGCGTCGATTACTTATTAATACATGCTAATAGCGGCAGCGGATGATGGTGCTCTCTTTGCTCAACCACAGACATTTATCTCAGTTTCACTTAAGCCATAAGCGCAGAGTCAGAGATGACTGGGAACATTCCTGCTGCTCTGGTCTCGACCAGTAGGTTGTGTCACTGCAGGAGAATGCCTAATGGCTGCCCTACAGCCGCTCATGTGCAACAGTTTGCACAGAAAATGTGCCTCTGCTTGCCGTCACTAAAAGCTGTCAAACTGGCTCTCGCCTAGCAGGCCGGGACAGGGATGGCTGAGAGGAGGAGGAGAGTTGTGTAACCCTGAGGAGTGTGTGTGCCAAGTTCGCTACAAGTTAAACAGCTCGACTTTTCAGGATGTGACTTTTTGTTGTTTTTTTTTATTATTATTATTATTGCAGCAACAAAGGCAGCGGAAGAATTGAGGTTAAGCTGGTTAGGTTGACATTTAAGGAGGGGACAAAAGCAACAGCTGGGATTCTTTAGAATCGGAGGAAAGTGGATCAGAAGGACGGATTTATCACAAGATGAGGGACGGTGACGTCAGCTCTTCCAGGAGACAGGAGGTGTGTCAATGTGCTTGGGTCTCTGTGCCTCAGCCAGCAGTAGCTGGATTAGACTGGATTACAACTTTCTGCCAGTTTTACAGTGTTTATTCCTCCTGTAGATGCATTCATGAAATCTAAGAACCACTTCATTGTTACAGTGCCTAGTATTCGCACAGTCGTTAAACACCTGCTGCAACCACAAACTTTTTTTTTTGTTTGATTCTGTTATATACTAGCAAAAGTACTGCACTTCTCCAAAGTGCAAGGAATTTTTTAATGAGAAATTTAAAAAGCATTTCCAGTATTTGTAGTTAGCCCCTGTTCTGCTGCATTTAGAAGTCCTGATAATGTTTACTGTTTGATAGCGTAATCAGGTTTGATCAAAAGATTTAACCTAAATCGCCACCAAACTTGTGAGGAGAAGAAGGCAGCTGAATTGGAAATGAGACCAACAGGACATTTCCTCTCGAAAAACGGATTTATTTTTTTTCCCCCTTTCACTTCACCTTGTTCTTATTTTTAAGCAATTATTTGGCATGAAACACTAAACCGCTACTGCACAAGTTACTAAGTTACTTAACAGATTGTTGCTAGGTAACCAAAGAGCAAGTGAGTTAGCTGATGCCACCAACCTAGCTTAGCTTAGCTGGCCGTGAGAGGTTGAGCAGCTGAAGTCTTTCATCTGCCTACATTCCCCAGAATGCTGTGTGTTTCTGGATCAGAGTTCAGTAAAATTATTGAATATTCTGTTTGATGTATTATCTACTGATATTACTCGTGTGTCTATCACAATGTATTATTGATTTATTGCACCGTCTCACATTTTAGCACCTACTATTTTAGTATATTTACAGTGTACATCTTGTGTACTGATGGCATATTTTTCTATGCAGTTTATCATTTTCAGTGAATACTACATATATCAATGTATTATAAGCCTGGCGGGACACCAGGCTTTACTTGTCTCTCCACCACACTAAGAGTCATTTGTTTGTTTTAAATAAGGTTTTTAATACCAGTAACAGTGGCAGAATGACAGATTAAGCTAGGTTTATAGAGGCACCAATTGCGCCTTCCCTGCACCCACCTGTTGACCTCACATGCTGTTATTTTGAAATTATGACGCCTGCGCGTCCACCTAGAAATTTTTGTAACTTTTTAAATTTTTTTAACGCACAAAAACGGTGGGCTGCCCTAGCACCTCTACCACTGGGCTGAGCAGATCTTCTGGGGTAAACCATGCTATTTGCATGAGGCAAACTCTTGGATCCTACAAACACATCCTGTTTCACTCCAGTTTTCAATATGAAGCACTGAAAATCTACTTTTTTGCCTGTTGAGACATGAATAAAATACACATAAAACCTTTTCAATGCTTTCTACAATTGTGCCATTTATTTTTTTAGTGGTTTAATACTATTTTGTTTCTTGGCGTGATTTCTTACCATGACAATGTCAGAATGTTACCTTTCTTTAGCTGCGATATCAATTTCTGCATCTTTGACAACCTTGCTCGCTATCTGCTACTCTAAATTATGAACAGTCAGCAATCAACCCCATGAGAGAGCTCCTTCTGGCTTCCTGATTCACTCACATTAAGGCAGTCAGAAATCTATCTACGGCAACCCAAGAGCAGTGAAAAACAGATCTGGTTATGTTAAAAATAACATCCATTTTATATGATTTAATATGCTGCCTTTTTAGGGCCGAGTAATTACTGGTTGACAAAAAAGGCGGTAAAGAAAAGCGTCTTGCTCACCGGATGCTAAACAACAAATTTGGATGAAGTGGGTTAAAATAAATAAATAAAAGGAAGGATTTACAGCTCAAACTCCTCATGACCTCCTGTTCCTCTACAAAGAGATGTTAAGAGAGAAAGATGAGCAACAGACTGCTGAGCTGGGGTTCAACAACACTTCACAGCTCCCCTCACTGACGAGGGAGCGTTCAGAGGCTCTTTCAACACTTCACAAAGAGGAAGAGAGAAAATAAAAGAGGATCATAAAAAAGAGGGAATGTTTAAAGTGGAAAAAAAAATGTTGGCAGAATTTTCTGCGTTTGGCATTTAGGTCAAAAGCTGTAAAATTTCAACCAATGAGAGATTATTTCCTCCCGCCCCCCATCCACTCTACAATGTCTGCAGTAGCTGCCTCTCACAGGAAGGAGGCGGACTGCTTTACTCCCCATTGGCAATCGCTGTCGGAAACATTTAGAGCGAA